ACATCCCGGTGGAGGTCTGGAAGTGTCTAGGAGAGGCAGCAGTGGAATTTTTAACTAGTTTGTTTAACAGGGTTTTAGAGAGTGAGAAGATGCCTGAGGAATGGAGAAGTAGTGTATTAGTGCCGATCTTTAAGAATAAGGGTGACGTGCAGAGTTGCAGCAACTATAGGGGGATAAAGTTGATGAGCCATACAATGAAACTATGGGAAAGAGTAGTGGAAGCTAGGTTAAGGAAGGTAGTGGAAATTTGTGAGCAGCAGTATGGCTTCATGCCCAGAAAGAGCACAACAGATGCAATTTTTGCTCTGAGAATTTTGGTGGAGAAGTATAAGGATGGTCAGAGGGAGTTGCACTGTGTGTTTGTAGACTTGGAGAAAGCGTATGACAGGGTGCCAAGAGAAGAGTTGTGGTACTGTATGAGGAAGTCAGGAGTAGCAGAGAAGTATGTCAGTGGTGCAGGACATCTATGAGAGGAGCAGGACAGTGGTGAGGTGTGCTGTAGGTCAGACAGAGGAGTTCAAAGTGGAGGTGGGACTGCATCAGGGATGGACTCTGAGCCCCTTCCTGTTTGCTATGGTGATGGACCAGTTGTCAGAGGAGGTCAGACAGGAGTCTCCTTGCACAATGCTGTTTGCGGATGACATTGTGATCTGTAGTGAGAGCAGGGAGCAGGTAGACGAAAACCTGGAGAAGAGGAATGAAAGTCAGTCGTAGTAAGACTGAGTACATGTGTGTGAATGAAAGGGAGGGAATTGGAACAGTAAGATTACAGGGTGAAGAGGTGAAGAAGCTACAAGAGTTTAAGTACTTGGGGTCAACAGTCCACAGTAATGGAGAGTGTGGGAAAGAAGCGAGTGCAGGCAGGTTGGAATGGGTGGAGAAAGGTGTCGGGAGTTCTGTGTGATAGAAAAATATCAGCCAGAATCAAGGGGAAGATGTACAAGACAGTGGTGAGACCGGCCATGCTGTATGGTTTAGAGACAGTGGCACTGAGGACGAGACAGGAGTCAGAGCTAGAGGTAGCAGAGCTGAAGATGTTGAGGTTCTCTTTGGGAGTGACAAGGTTGGACAGGATTAGGAATGAGTACATCAGGGGAACAGCTCATGTGGATGTTTGGGGGACAAAGTTAGGGAGGCCAGATTAAGATGGTTTGGACATGTTCAGAGGAGGGAGAGTGAGTATATTGGTAGGAGAATGTTGGACATGGAGCTGCCAGGCAGGAGGCAAAGAGGAAGGCCAAAGAGGAGGGATATGAAGCTAGTGGGTGCAAGTGTTGAGGATGCAGAAGATAGGGATAGGTGGAGAGTGATGATTTGCTGTCGCGACCCTTGAAGGGAAAAGCCGAAAGAAGAAGAAGAAGTTAATAAGGACAAGTCCTCTGTGCTGAAGACTTTCTTGTGTCAGAAACCTTTAGGTTATGCAAGTAACCATGTTCCAAAAACACTATATAACCACCAGGTGGGATTTCATCACCTGGTTAACTTGTGCACATGCACACACATGACAAGACCTTTAACATGAAATCACCTTTAACATGAAGTCATGGTGACCATATGACATTTACAGTTACATTTATGGCATTTGGCTAGATGCCCTTATCCAGAACAACTTACAGAAGTTTTTTTGATTTCTCTGTCAATAAATACATTCTGATACTGGTTCACTACTTCAAGTACTAAGAATACCATCAGTCTAAAAACTCTGTTGGGGAGGTAATATGGTAAAAAGCACTAGTGGTTAGGCCACAGCGCTTTCACCGCTGCGGCCTGGGTTCAATTCCTGGCCAGGAAACCAACTCCAGCCACAGTGTGCTCTGAGTGCTGGTCCCAAGCCTGGATAAAAATTGGGGAGGGTTGTGTCAGGAAGGGTGTCTGGCGAAAAAACTGTGCCAAATCAAAATACGCAGACCAATGATCTGCTGTGGAGACCCCTAATGGGAGCAGCATTACTCATCACAGGGGGGTCCACTGGTGTTAGCTTGAGTGAGTGAACGATACAACTGCTAGCTCTTTACCTGTGCATTCCATATGTATTGCAATCATAAAAGTCTTTGACCAAATAAAAACTTCTGCCCTTGGTGCTTGCACAAGGTGCCTCTGCATGTAGCGCATTGTCAGAAAAAAACCATTAAGGATGCAACGCAAGCATTAAACATTGGCATCTGGCCCAGGCTGACTTTTTCATCAATCCTAGTACGTAAAATGCATGCCACCAACCCAGGGCGTGATGCTGTTTTCATGCTAGAACCTGCCTTATTTCACTTAATGTAAACCTGTACTGTGGCATAGAGTGTTGTCCCTCCATGTCCAAACCAACATGGGTCACTGCCATCTTTATACTGGCTATTATGGCTTATATAGAGAATTGTTCTTAGCTTTCAGGCTGATCCTCCATGTGCCTTCATAGACAGTCTGAGCTCTCTGTTGGCCTTTTATTGTGGCCTTCTTCCATTATCATCCCTGTCCATTTGTGGCTGGCAGCATTACTGCGCTGTGGCACTTCGGTCACCTCTGATTCCAGATTCAGTTCTAGATCTGCTAGGTGAGCTCGCCATGTCAGAATTGGCATCACTACTTATTCTGCTTATGAAACGTCTGTTGCAACAACCGCCTTTCTGAGGTGTCTAATACAAAATTAATGTCTACCACGTCTCACATTGCCCAAACAAGTGTACATCCTTCCTTATCATATTTATTTCCCTTATCCTTTTTGGAATGAATAGTGGAATCAGAATTTCACAATTCACAGCTCAGAGCACTATTCTGAATGCAATTTTCTCAGAAATAGATCTCTAAAGAAAAAAAACCACAGTCTATTGTGAATAGAAGGATTGCGGTTCCACTTTTTAATCTCCAAGTGCTGAAGAATATACCATAATGTATTTTGAATAGAGGGATAGTAGTTACATGATTCAAATTCAAAGTGGAAGAGGCATTACTGGTAAGAGGGGGTGGCTCACCCCATTGTCATCTACACTGATCAAAAAAATTTCAAGTACTTAAAAGCCACTAAGAGTCTGAACCCCACATAGCTCCATGGGCTTTATTCTTCTTCTCCAGATTCCAGTTCACAATCTCATATTATGGCTCTGAAAACTTGAAAGCGGATGCTCTGTCTTCAATGTGCCCAGCAGGCCCCAGAGAAATGTCTACAGAACACATTCTGCTAGAATCATGTTTTTTCAGTGCCATTTCCTGGGACATTGATCAGGAAATGAACAGAGCAATTGTGCATCATTCTGTGCCCACAATGTGTCCTCAAGCCAAATGATATGTCCCACCTAGGCTCCGTGAGAAACTAATCACCTGGGCTCACACCTCCCTGGCTACAGGACATCCTAGAGTTAACAAGACCTATCAGCTGCTACATACCAAGTATTGTATTGTATTGTAGCATGTTTATATGCTCAAAGATATCCACAGCTTCATCTTCTCATGCGGCATCTGCACCAAAGCTAGTCTTGAGAATGTTGCCTGCTGGAAAACAACACAGAATGTGTAACCACATAAATCAGTAACAGGGTTGTTTATAGCAATATCTCTGCTCTTAGCAGGATCAAGTTGTAACTTCTGTATAATATGTGACAATTAGAGATTTTTATCTCCATCTCTAAAACTGTCAGTTTTATCTCTAAAACTGTCATAAGCAATTTTTGATGCCTGAATATGGTTTCCTTAAAAACCCATAAAACTGAGGCATATTTCATTTGGTGTTTGCATATTTAGTTAATGTGAATCTTCACTACCCGATTCTTACAAAAGGTTAGCAGTGTGTATTAGAGTGTGTATTTAGAGATACAGATTGGTGACAAAAGAAGAAATGGTTCTGTTACACTGCATCTATCTATCTATCTATCTATCTATCTATCTATCTATCTATCTATCTATCTATCTATCTATCAATCTTTGCTGGCACAGTTTGGCTCCACTTGTCCCATTAGAGATGATCACCTTTATCCTATGATGAAACAGTTCTATCTTGATGGACGTGGTCTCTTCCTGGTCTCCACTCCACCACCATCCAGGGCTTGCTGAATGGTTTGAGGAGGTTGAAAGTTATCATTGGCTATGACCTCTAAACTCCATCTAAACTCAATTAAATACCTATGACAAAATTTGGACTGATGTGTTAGACGCCATTCTCCACCACCATCATCCAAACACCACTTTTGGAATGGCAGGGTTCATGCCTCCAGTACAGTGCTAGAGAAGCTGTTTCAGGCAGCTCTTCATGGCCCGACACTTTACTAACAGCCTTTTGTTTTCTTTATCACCTCTCTGTAAGATGGCTAACGGAACTAAGAAGAGGAAGTGTATTTTTGACACTTTAGACACTTTGTGGGCTTTAACAAGTTACACTGACCCGTGTGGTTCTTCAAACTTGAAGTATACACAGCAGATCATGGGTATTCTGGACTTATCTGATTAATGTTCTCTGATGAACAGAGAGT